CCCCGCCCGCCACCGCATGTATTAGTATGTAAATGATATATGTTAGTTACTCGTTTATTGTCTACTCGATGTTTTAGGAATCAAAAATGTTTTTGCGATGCGATCCGACCGCGACGTGTGCGCGTACGCAGCGTTGCGTGCGTCGTGCGCGCCTCTCGGAAGTACAAGCGGGGACACGTCGCATTTACACTAGTGTAGTTTAGGATGAGATTTTACTTATATATTATTTGTATTTATTTTGATTATTTTTGTCAATTCCCCGACGACAGACGTACAATATTTAGATACGGGGTACGTCGGAGCGCTCGATTGGACGTTCTCGCGCGTCCCGTCAGCTCGTCGCCTAGTTTCGTTTTCGATAGATTTTATTAGATTTATATAATAAAAATGAATAGCATTTAGTTGCGCTTTGTTTTAGTTTAACACATATTGTGATATTAAACGGGCTCGCGCCCGGTAAGCTGTTTAAGTATAGACGTACGGGCCGATGTCGTCGCACTCAAACTGTCAGTGTGTGCAGCACCCGCGTCCGTCTCGCCCCATTCGCCCCCCACACTCCCCACTCGCCCCCCATCAGTGTCCGTCTTGTGATTTACTCTCAAAGAGTACAGCGACAGAGATTCTAATCCAATCTGACATAGAATTGATTATGCAAATATTAAACACTTATGTTTCGTACGATTTTAAAACCAGAAGCCATCATGTGACAAAGATTTAGAGTTTATCGTCCGGTAAATGATACCTTTGCAACCGAGCGTCGATCACCGCGACTGGATTTATTTTGTAACGATGCTATATTGTTGTTATTAAATAAAATAAAATCTCGCTTCGTGTCACTCGGTCAGAACCGTTAATTCATGTAGTAGTATTAAGTTTCGAAAACTACGTATAAACTGAGGAAGGCCTAGCACGAAAACTTGCGAGAAAGTATTCGTAACGTCATCGACAAAAAATTGTATTAGATTTATGCAGCGCCACTAGCGGTGTAAAGTACAACGACAAGTCTCATACAAACTTTGACATATTTTGTCGATGACGTTACTAAAACGCATATCGCAAATATTCGTGATAGACTCTTATAATCAAGATATATAATTATGATTGACAATCGCTTGCGGTGTAACGCGAGGACCCCGCGGTCTTCCACTAGCGGGCCCGGGACCCCCCGCCGACCCCGCAGAGACCCCGCGCAGACCCCGCGCACCGGGCGAGAGGGACGCCGGGTCGATACTTGTTAATAAATATTTGACTGTGAATTTTTGGAATGTAAATAAAAATTTATGTTATCGCAAATAATTATGTTTTCCTTTTATTTTATTTTCATTGTGTTTTTATTCAAACACTGCCTACACATACTTTGTTATATACTTATACATACCCCATGCTATATATTTATATATACTCGTATCGATGAAATATTGCTTTAGTTTAAGGTTGTTGTAAATATTTACATCTCATGTTGTTTTATCAACCTTTAGAAGTTTCATTATAATGTATGGTAAATGCAGTCACTATAAATATATAACTTATATAAATGTGTACACATTTTTTTTATTAACTACCTCTCTCATTTACTGTTAATACTAAAAATAATACTTTTATTGATTTCATAGAACATTTCTTAGGTTTTAGTTGACTGTTATAGTAGATGTCATATATATTGGCTGCTCTTAACTTCGCGCGAGTTGCTGCGCAGAAAACAATATTAGGTCTAGAAGGGAGTAAAGGGAAGCGGGGGAAGGGCACTGCGCAGCGCTCTGATGACTGAGCCGTCAAGATATTTGAAAAGAGCTGTACCGTCAATAAGTTAACTTATTTAGGAATAAAGGAAATAAAACTAATAAATTATCAATAATACGCACTTTATTGTCATCTATTTACACGTCACAAATATAAAATTCCACTTAAAAAATATTATTATGACTCACAAATAACACTGAAATTGACTCTAAGTACACTTAGTGATACGACGCTATGAACTTATGTAATAAATAATTTACGGAGTAACTTCACCAAAACTCCCTCTGGCATTGCCATAAGATTATTTACGAGACAAAGGGAATATGCAACTAAAGATTTAAACACGAAACTTTAAATATTTAAGTCAGACCTTGAAGAAATTGCGAAAAAATCCTGTCTGTTTTGTTTTTTGATAATCTGTTACTTAAATGATTAAATAAAAAAGAGGGATATTACTTTGAGCTCTCAAGATCTGTCCCTAAAACTTGTTTTATATGATGAGCTCTGAAGACATCAATCTATACAAAGTTTTAAATAAACTGCAGTCAATCCACCATTTAAAAAACCTTTATTTAAAAAATTGCTGCAGCTACAAACTCTTTGTTTTTTATGACATGTACAGTACATATAAAATTTCCTTTTGTCATACACAGACTGCAGTTTTAAGGTACGTGTCCATTGGGCCGCGCCGGACGCAACGCACGCTGCTGATGATGGACGCAGTACTATGTTAAATCATACACAACTTAAATCCGTCGCAGTCCGTGCGTGCGGTACGTTCGGCGCGGGCCAATGAACGTGTACCTTTAGTCGCCGTGATATATCATCTTTTAGCTTGCATAGAATGATCTAGTGCGGTCAGCGCTCTTCATATAAATTTATTATATGTATTTTGTTCCCATCACGATGGTGGTTTAATTATTTACATTATTAATTGTCCCTATCTATTCTATTGGTATTTATTGTTTACTTAAAAGTGCATAACTAAATTGTAGACATGCCCCAGAGTTATCTTGTCAGATATTGTGGGAAATTTTACTATACATCGTGTTTAATTCCTAAAGCACGGGATTTTTATGGCACTTTGTGATCCTTTCAACTCCAAAGGTCTCTACGACCGACGTCTCTTAACTATATTTATTATTTTCAAACTAGAGTAGATTATTTAATTTAGAGAAATCTGAATAATAGAATTTTACAACACCAAATACATTAATAAGACTATAAATATAACATTCAAAAGACTACACTTGTTGTACAAATATTGGTACGCATGGTACGCACTAGTTACCCTGGGGGGGATTCTTATCAAGTTTTCGTTTTGTAATTGGCATCGGTCGTGACCCTTGGCCTTCTACACTTAACCTAAGTAAAGGTAACTTAGTTATCCCCCTACTTAACCAATATATCCAGATCTAGGGGGTTGAGGAGGCCTGCCTCCACGCACGACTTGCAGCAGAAGCTGAAACAAAATAAGAGTTAATACTACATTCTAGAATGTAATAAAAGATAAATAATTAGTAGAAAAAACTGCTGCTTATGTTAGGAACATTGGTTTAATTTAAACACTTTCGATTCGTAACTAAATAATTCATAATGTTGCCAGATAATTAAAAATAAAAAAAGAAGTAATAAAAGGTTATTGAACGTTATTTTTATACTAGCTGTCGGCCGCGACTCAGCCCACTCGGAATTTAAAAAAAAACTTAATTAGTAGCCTATGTGTTCTTCCAGATTATGTTCTACATCTATGCCAAATTTCAGCGAGATCCGTGCAGCGCTTCTGGAGATACCTTCAAACAATCATGCATCCATCCGTCTAAATATTCGCATTTATAATATTAGTAAGATTAATATAATTCAGTCCTCAAATAGTGATAATTAAATTATTACTGGAAATGTTATAAATAAATGAAATGCACTTACTTGGAGTAGTACTTGTGAGTACAGAATTTGCTGCGCACGATGAGGTTGCAGTTCGCAAAGAATGGGTTGTCCTTGCACGTCGGCGGGATGTACAGACCTGACAGGCAAGTATAGGATCAATACAATATAACAAGAAATAACAATATTCTACTAGAAATTTTAACAAAGTTGTGCGTGAGTGACGCAAGTATGATTTTATTTTTTTTTCTTTGATTTGACTTTCTAGATTATCCTGAGACTAACTTTCAAAAGAATTCACAAGTTACAGTATTCTTGAAAATATTTTGTGGTCATCTGCAATACATTTTTTTTGTAGCAAGTCTTATTTGCTGATGACATTATAATAATTCTAGTAGGCGATATTTAAGGTATTCATCGAGTTTACCTTCTACGGTGATCTGCAGCGTGGAGGAATGCGAGCTGAAGGGGTTGCGAGCGTGGCATCCGTACAGCCCGCTGTCGTTGATGTTTGTCGACGTTATCGTCAGCCGCGACTCTGTATAACCCAAGATATTATGTTAAGACTATATCAAACTACTTTAGATACTTTCTTATTCACCTTAAATACAAAATTAATTGCATAGCATATGACAGTTAAAATTGCTGGTAGCCTTCGCGACGCGATATTAGCGATGGATAAAGTTTTATGGTAGAAGTGAGTGTAACCTGTGATATCGATGCGGTCACTGGGCAGCAGCGGCACGCCGTCCTTGGTCCAGCGAACCTCTGGCTCAGGGTAGCCGTCCACCTCACACATCAGTGACAGTTGCGCGCCCGTCGCCACCGTAGACGTCGACGACAGGATGCGAGTCGTTACTGGCACTACACATGTTCAATATTGCAACTGAATAACCATAATTAACCCTAAAATCAACGCAAAACAAGACTTATTTTGTTTTTATAAAATAAATAATGATTGTAAAAATCGAAAGTGACGGAAAACTTGACTAACATCCGGGGACCCATTGTCATTTCTATAAATAAATTCACATAAATATTTTACATTTACACATACCTGATTGTAGTTATAATGCAACTATCAATAGATATATAATTATTCTGCAACTAAAAGATAACAATAACAGTTTCACGTGAACTTTTCATACCATTACAAGCATACTCCACAACATAATGTACCTCCTTAGATAAAGAACGTAACGTAAAATTCGACAATGTCATAAAAATTACGTATAATCATTAAAGTGAAATATTACCCAATAATACCCAGTAATATTTTAAGCACGTAGTCACAAGAGGGCAACCCATAGGAAAGGTCATGCAGACATGCAAACATGCACCAACCCAAAAGGCAGAATAAAGTAGTAAGCCGACAATCTGTCAATTATGAGTATACTTAAAACACATTTATCAGCTTACTTCTTTATTGAAATAACATTTCCCATCTTACCGGTGTACACTGGTATTGTGATCTCTGGAACCGGTGTAGTTGTCGCTTCAGTGGTAGGATCACCCGGGGTTATCCGCACCCTTTCTTGTCTATCCACCAAGTATGGGTTGTCGGTCTCATCTCCTTCCGGCCTGTACGCCTTCACTACGACGGACCAGGAGGCGGGCTTGCCGACGCCATTGTACGCTTGACACGCGTAGTCACCCAGCGTATCGTAATCTAGTCTTCTTATCTGAAGCACACTGCCTCGGGCTTCGTAGAGGGAGCTGCTGTACGGCACCATAGGGCCCGACAATCCTCGGAACCATTGTATGAAAGGCATGGGGTAACCGTATGCCATGCAGCGGATAAACAGCACCCGGTTGAGTTCTCCCATCACGACGGCGTCGTTATCTCCCGCGATGCCCACGGGCGCTTCCACGGGATCTGACCACTCCAATTGTTAGTAAACTAATCTACAGAGGTTCATGGATGCTGCAATGCTATTGCATTGTGAATGTTACAGGTTTTATAAGAATTTTGGCAGTAGAAATGTTAAATGTGAAGAAACCACTGCCAGAAATCTTTAATTTAAAAGTTGTGTTATGAGCGACCATCAACCCCTATGTTATTGGAAAACTAGCTACTGAAATCAATCTGTTTTGGATAATTTTGGTAATGTTTGTTAAATATTTGGACAATGTAAGCGACGTGATATCGCGACATATCCCAATTCCCGCAGTTCTTTGAACGCTATCGGCAACTTCCCGGGTGAAGTCACAGATGACCATTCAAATGCGCACTGATAATGCAACATTTTAATTTGCATGTATTGCATTAAGATAAGATAAGAATTCTAAAACTCGATATTTTATAACCCGTTACAGCATCTTTTTATCGTATTTAAAGAATGAGATAAAATAAAAAAAAATGTACAATCTAAAGAGTTTTAGAAATGTAACATTATCGCAACAATTCCAAAATGAATTATAATGTATATGTGAAGTTATTATTTTTGGTCAATGAAATCTATCCTTTCGTATATATGAGAAGATTAGAAAAGTTTAAATTACTCCAAAACAGATTAAATTAATGAAAATCGAACCTCTTTTTGCGCAAACTCCCAGCAACAACGCGCACAGCGCCAGCAATAGACATCGACACATGTTTTATTTGTATTTATCGCAACCGACGGGCAGACACACTTGTTGATTGTATGAGATTTAGCTGCAGACTGAATGATCGTTGTGCACTCGTAAGGGCTCAGTGACCATATAAAAGGTAAGGACTTTCCGTCGAGATTAATCAAGTCAGTAATGAAAAAAGCAACATTTTTGTTTGTATTATTATATTATAACACTTATTAATGTTAAAATCAAACTTTTGACAGTAGCTCTTCGTTTAGAATTTGACATATGTGACATTAAATGATAGAAACATTTCGTTAACCAATTCTTTTTTTATCTATACTAATCAGATAATCTTGGAACTAGGATATAAAGGTTATAAAAGGTATATACAGGTGGACTTAAGAATTCAAACTTATGTTTTGTCGCTACATAGGATTTTAGTACAAATTATTAGGACGTTCCTCAAACATCACAAATGTTGGTCACCGTAATCATTAGGGGCGTTTGCCTTCTAATTGAGTTCAGATAAGGGACTGTTGACTGCAAAAGTTTACGCAATGAATTTACATTCATCCTGAAATTTGGACATGAGATAATATTTTACTGAAAAATAACTTTGTAGTTAACATAGCTAGCTTAGAATAAAACGACTATGAATGATTTTGTACTTTTATTCAAGTACAGCTTAACTTCACATATTTGCGCTGAATTATGTATCCTTTTCTGTTTAATAGTAAATTATATTTTAATGATATATCTGATATGATATCACGGAAATGTTAGATGGCATACATTAAATGCTATCTTGTAGGGCGAGAGTGCAAAGACGTTTAATTGTTGACAAACAAATTGCTACTAAGAGAGACGAACATACTGTAAACTGATTAATTAACCTTGAATGACCTTAACAACTGTAGGTCAGTCTAATGTTCGATAACTGAAAGATATTACGAACATTTTCTTCAGAAAGGTTATGTTTTTCTACCTAAATATTAAGACGAAGGGATTACAAAAACTAATTAAGACCATCTGATATATACAGTAAGCTAATTTAACATTCTATTTTGTTTTTAAATATTTTATGTATTTCATCGTTCAGTCTGCCAATCAACATTTTATCAATCGACAAATGTATGTCAACAAATGCCCGTATAATTTGAACAGACTAATTTAAAGATAGCGTCAGGTTTCATATCAATGTCCATTACTGACGCAGGTCCTTATTTTAGCATACAATAGAAAAGAAAATAATAGCAAAATATATGCGATCAGAAAGAGAAAAATTCTAAAAGATCTATTCTACTTTGTTATTATAAAAATCCCAAAACCAATTGCAAATAATATCATACGTCATCGATAATTATATTTATAAAGGTTATAAGTATTTACTTCAGTTATTATAATGATTACGTAATTATTTTATCAAAGTAAAATATTCTTTTGTTACCAAAAAAAACTCCGATTTTTTTGTCAAATAAAATACTAACATCTTACATAAATTATCCAATAACCAATATTGAATAATCCATCCTTAAATAATAACCGAGAAATATTTATTTCAAACATTGATGTAATACGTAGCTAATAAACTTTTGTTTTCGTTTATTAATTTGACAACGCTAGTTATGCTTTTACTAACTATCGATGACGTATGAAAAATATAAAGTGTTACATGTCTTGTGGCATGCAAAGCGTGAGCACTGACCGTTGACCAGCAGCCGTATCTCCTGGCGCGCGACGCCGAGGCCGTTGTCAGCTATGCAGATGTAGACGCCCGAGTCGTTGCGGTACAGTGAGACGATCTCCAGCGCGCCGTCCGACAACAGCCGGTAGCGGTCAGAGGTGCCATCGATCTGACATCGTAATATACCTTCTTATATTGCTCATAATCATTTACTGACACCAAGGTAATCTTTAAATTCTACTGAGATTTTAAGTAGACTTTCACAAGGTGCATAGCTGTTGTAATTTTTTATACGAGTTGTAAATAATACGCTATAGGCGCTAGGCGACATGCGTACCGTAATCTCGCCGCGGCTCCAGGTGATTTTGGGCGGTGGGTTGCCGTGGAAGAGGCAGCGCAGCGTGGCCTTGCCACCCTCTGCCGCGCTCACCTCAGGCTCCGTCCTCGTGTCGGCGCGCGGGGCTTGCGGTAGCTCTAAACACTCGATGGAATGAGGGTGTGGTAACAATAGACATTTTGTAGAATACGTAGAATTGACCAACGTCTTTCTATCACTTTCCACTATATTTCCAATAGATGTAACGATGTACTAACCGGGTTGGTATGCGGTGGTGTGTGGTGCTGCACTAGTGGCTGTGATATTGGCGGCTGGTGGGAGCGTGGGCGCAGCGGGCGCGAGGCAAAGCTGGCTGCAGCCGCTGGTGCAGCATTTAGCCTCGCCGCGGCAATCCGCGTCGTCGTTGCACTCAATTCTGCACGAACTGTCCAACACCGGCATATCCTCCACAGCCGGACAGCTACCCGTCTTGTTCACTGTTTACGTTATACAAAATTCTTAAAAATGTATTTGTAATGCCTAACCTAGTTGCTTGTAATGCCGACAATATTGTAGATGTGTATAAATGATGAGATTTCTAGTATAGTAGTTAATTTTCGCCTGCTGGACTCATGTGATGATATGGGGAGGTACTGACTTATGTTGCAGCTAGCCACGTAGCTGATGTCCTGCAGCACTGGGTCGCGGAATACAGTGGGCACACAGCGCTCGCCCTCCGCACACTTTTTGCTCGCGCATGGGTGATCCAGGCAGCGGCATCTGGTGGTGTTGGATGTTTTTAATTTATCAATGCGCAAGTTTGGATATTGTTATCACGTAACTACAGAACGGCTCAACCGATCCAGATATTAGTTGAAGCACATATAGATTACGGTCTGTATGTACGGTCATATGACCATAAAAAATATAACGAAGTCTATTATGTTTTCAAAAAAGAAGGACTAAGCACTAAACACACTTAAAATACTAGGACATCATAAAGGCTATTTACACATAAGCGTACCTCAGACAGCCGTCGTCACCGGTTTCGTTGAGCATTCCGTAGTAGCACTTGAGGCGTTGGCACTCTTGCTGCAGGGGCGCGCAGTCGACCTCGACTTGCACGCAGGCGCAGCGCTCGCAACCGCCGGCAGTACGCGTGCGCTGTACGCCGTACGCGCATCGTAGCGCGGCGCACTCCGCGTTGTATGCCTCGCAGTCCGGCAGCACTTCGTTCGTCTCTGCAGACATGCAAATAATTACACTGATAAATCATTCAATTATATTGGGCAGAATCTCCTGTTTGGTCTGTACAAATCAATTTTATCTGCAAGTCAGATCCGAGATCCAGTGTAGTACATAAGTAATCATATGTATACATGATTGGTGTAAATATATATTTCGACCACTAATATAAAACAAAAGTTTATGTTATCTCATCGCATGTTCAGTCATAGACTTAAATCTTTCTAAATATGATTTGCTTTAATAAAAAGCAAATATATTAACGGAAAGAGATGAGTTTTCATATTTTTTTTTATAAGAAAGAATCTAAATTATACGTGTATAAATCTTAACATTTACTTAAATATATGTTAACTATTGAGATGTGTTTATGTATCGTTTTATGGCGTAATAACATCTTTTTTTTACATCAATAACCACATGAACAGTAGAACCATGCTCCATTTGATGTCCACACAAATACACCGACAATTTTTACAAATATTTTCAACATTAAATAACTTAGCATTTTTATACTGACCTGTACGTGCGCACATTGACAACACTTGTAGAAATACACCCTGTATAGTGCAAAGTGCAAGAGATAAAGCGTGTAAAGCAGTGCTTGTGGATGCAGCACACGATGACCTTGTGCCGGCTCTTCACGCGCTAAACCAGCTGACAATTCTACCAAAACTCATCACAACGGTCTTTCAATAGCACCTGGTATATTGCCAAATAGCGATTTTACATTATTACTTTTTTATAACAGACGGAGACAAATTTAGTTATCATCAGATGTTATGCCACCCTGGTACTCATCAACATCGACAACGATAAAAAACCCATTATTAAAAGACCGTTGTGATATTTATGTAGAATTAAAAGCAGAATTGCGAGCCAGATGAAATCCAACCAGAACACAGTCAAGTAAATAAAAAAAAACAAAGTCTGGTAACTGGACTAAGGCTTCAGGGGCGCGGTAGAGATGGCTAGCTAAAGGGATAATGTACCGGCGGTCGGTGGGACCTTGCAGACGTCGGCGCACTCCTTGTAGGATACAAAGTTGTTCTGATTGCCCTCGCAGCCGAAGTAGATGAAGGAGAGACAATCCCCATAGGTGGTGCTGTAGTGCCAGCGCGGGCTCTCCTGGCCGCAGGCTCGGGAGCCCATCGACAGTGGCTGCAGGCACGCCGGGGCTGTCCCCCCCACGGTTAGTCACCCCCAAACCAGTTAGAGAGAACCCCAACATGCGATTTACTTATGACTACTACTATTGTTATAAACTACTAAAATTAATAAAATAAGTCGGGTTGAAGTAATTAACTATATAGTAATATAAATAAAAAGTATGTTAGAGAGTACAACAAATGCATTTTTTTACCTAAGATTAATTTCATAGACAGTGGAAGTAATGGCAGCTACAAAAATTATAATTTAAGATAATACGCAAAAACTTAAAATGCAGTTGCTGTATTTACTAACTCTCCATAGGAAATGAATTACTGAAGTGATTATAAGAAGCCATACACTTTGTAGCACTACTAATGAAATCTGAAATCTAGTAAAATATCTAAGATCTACTAATAAGAAAGGAGATGAATTGCCAGCTTGTTCCAAATGACTATACATACCAGGACCACTAGGACCGCAGACCTCCTCGCACTCGTCCACGCTGGAGAAGCGGTTGGGTCCGCCCTGGCAGCCACCGTATGCAAACTGCTGGCAGCGACCGGTCTCCGCGTCCCAGTACACCTTCATGATGCCAGTCTCGTTGCACGGTCCAGGGTCGAGGCGATACTGGCACACATCTGTGAGATAACGAAATACGTATAATTAGAGCCCAGTTATGTTGTGTGTTCGCTTGATAGAAGAGGGTTTTTGGTCTGGGCAGTCACGGTCGCTTGATTATCTAGAGTTTAAAGTATTGCTAGAAGCTACATTGAAAAACAAGATGAAACACTCATACGAAATTTCTAACCCAGTGCCCTGAAGACACCACACCGTCTCTCGCACTCCTCCTCGCTGCGGTAGGAGTTGGGATAGCGGCAGTTGCCGAATTCCGCGGGCATACAGGCGCCGCGCGTCTCGTCGTAGTAGAACACGGCCGCGCTGGCCCCGCACGGCTGCAAGGACGCCGGACTACGGCACTGCTCCTCCACCAGCTGAAAGTTAAAATATGTGGAATATTCTGGCAGAACTAAGGTACATTTCTACTTGATAATCTAATGAATTGGACATCTTCCATCAAAACGTTAAATCGAGAATCCATCCGAAACTAAGCCTATTCAGGTAAAGTATTACTTACTATTCGTTGTGTGGTGGTGGGAGCGGCTGTGGTCGTTGTTGTCGTTGTTGTCGTGGTGGTAATAACTTCGGTTGTTGGTGCGAGGGTGGTCGAGGGTTGTTTTTTGCATCTACCCTCGCAGTCTTCTCGTGTATCGAATCTGTACGAATGCAACATTTATTAAAATCAGACTATATTTAATTCTTCTAAAATATTAACAATCTTTGGATTCTAAAACCTTTTTTCTGCTTAAAAATATCACAAGGCTTATTTCCATATTGATGACTTGCGGATAATTACCAATTGTTGTGGGATATTCTATATATAAAAATCAATTGCCGTTCGTTATTCTCGCTAAAACTCGAGAACGGCTGAACAGATTTATCTTATCTTGGTCTTGAAATGTTGGTCTATGGAAGGCATAAAAGGTGAGAAAAAATCGAAAAATTCCACGAGGACGGAGTCGCAGGTGGCAGCTAGTTTGTTATATTTTTTAGTGGTGGACATACTAATTAATTCCACGCCCAGAATTTTCGCAGTAGAAATATACAAGTGTATGTGGAAGTGTGTTTGCTGTAACCTGTTGCCGTTGCCGTTGCAACCGCTATAGATGAACTGGCTGCAGGTATCGCGTGCCTCGTCATAGTACCACATGGGCAGGTACGACAAACAGTTGCCCGGCTCAGGCGGCACCTTGCACGGATCTAATGAAATTGCATTAAAACATTTAAACTTTGAGTCACCAAAATTTAAGTAATAAATCAATTTCATGAAAAACTACATATTAGATTGATGAGTTCAGATTTTGTTGGATTTCATCGGATATATCGGTCAAGAATTAATGTTACCGCTCTTAGGTTGGCAAATGTCTTCACACTCGTCGAAGGTAGAGAAGCGGTTGGGGCCGCCGTGGCAACCGCCGTACAGGAACTGTCGGCAGCTGCTGCTGTCACCGTCAAAGTAGAATTTGGGCTCGAAGGACCGACATGGACCCGCGTCCAACGGATACCGGCATACATCTGGTTATATAATTTCTTTTACAAAACAATCCCTAAAAGGTCATTTTATCTACACAAATGTTATGAATGGTGTCTGATTTCTATTAGAAGCTATTCCTAGATAAATTTTCATATATACTTGTACTTCGTGGCCTGGTCTGTTAGGCTTTCCAGATCAAACCTCAAGAATCTGCTATTTGCTTCTATAACTAACCAATATTCCGGAAAGCACCGCAGCTCCTCTCGCAAGCCTCAGGCGAGATAAAGGCGCCTGTGTGGCGGCAGGTGACGCCAGTATTAGCGTTGACGTGCGGCACGCACTGCCGGCTGCTGTCCGCGTACCAGACCGTGCCCGCGCCCGAACACTCCTCCAAAATCGGGGACACTATACATTCTGGCGGCAACTCTTCCACCTAATAAGAAAAACAGACGTTTTATTGAGTTTATGTGATATTTATTTTGGTAAGAAATTAGCTTATGTTACCCGGTTATGTCGATTAACAAGAACGCGGATAAGACAATATACAATTTTGTTACATGGCAATGCAAAGGCTTTAGTACTTATTTATTTACCGTGACAGTGTTAGTTGTTGTAGCCGGTGTCGTGGTGCTCGTCGTGGTGGTTGTAGAGGTCACGGGTTCCGGTCTTGTAGTCTTACAGCGACTCTCGCACTCTTCTAAACTTTCGAATCTGTTTTAAATAATTAGCAAATCATGAATAAAGAATAATAGAAGTATCAGTATCAATATACAGGAATATACTGGATTTGTAAGAAATACTAAGTAGCTTTAAGTACAATAGTTTGGACACCAAAATAATTTGTTCTGTATTTTCTTATTCCGACCTATTCGCGTTGCCCTCGCAGCCTCCGTAAGTGAACTGGCTGCAGGAGTCGGTGCTGGGGTCATAGAACCAGCGCATCAGTGACTGATCGCACGGCCCGGCGCGCATCGGCAGTCTGCAGATGTCATCAGAAGACGTACCGAAACGGTTTTCCACTGGAAGGAAGAAATGGTATAAGACTAGATTAACTTAGAAACTTGTATTTATATTAATTGAAGTCGAGTAATTATTCGTAAAGTTACTAGTTCTTTTGTCTCTTATAAGTTTTCCTCCTCGTCAGACGGATCGTTATGTCTTGTTGGACTGTCTACAGACCGCTGCTTACCTCCTTCATCTGGACAGAAGTAGTTGCAATGCTCCTGCGTGGGGAAGTTGTTCCTGTTGCCACCGCAGCCGCCGTACATGAAGGTGATGCAGGTGCCCAGTGAACCGTCATAGCCCCAGCGGCTCTGCAGCTCCTCGCACGGGCCTGGGTCCAGCTCCAACGCACAGAAATCTACATAGTAGGAACAATTTTCGGTAAAATTTTAACGTGATTTTATAAAGTAAGGCTTATTAGCTAATTTTGTGTAGTTAAGAATTGAAAAAAGTGTTTTAACAGGAATATTCAAAGTTTACTTTAATGCAATTTTGTCTATTGTTAAGTTTTTAAGTTCTTAAGGTTCTAACACTAACCAGATCTCTGGGAGCCGGACTCTGGTGCCTGTACTTGCGGTACTGGCCTTGTAGTCTCCTCGGGTCTTGTGGTCTCCGGTCGAATCGGTGTGAGTCTTGTAGTCTGGACCGTGGTGGGCTCGGTGGTAGTTGTGGTGGGTATCTCGGAGCAGCGCATCTCACACTGTTCCTTTGAATCGAACCTGTTCTCGTTGCCGCCACACCCGCCGTAGTAGAACTGTCGGCAACTAATAATAAAATTTAAGACTTTATAACGTTTTAACGTAACTAAAATTAAAATAACTACACATCTCCTGTTTACTTTGCCTAAAATTCGTTCCTGTAACTTACCCCTTATTAGTCGTATCGTAGAACCATTTCTCTGTATAATCCGCGCATTCTCCTGTCTCTGCAGGAAGTACGCACATCTCTGGCTCTGAAAAATTACATACTTAAAGTTGGTTTCTGAGATCTGAGATAGGTTTTTTTACATTTGTTTAAAATATTCATTTGATCATTAAGAACTATTTACGAGAAACAACAACCAGTATAGTAAATATAATTTAGTTAACATAATATCTTGAGGTATTCAACGTTATTAAAATGTAAGTACTTACAAAAATCTAATTTACATATAATATGCATACAACCAGCACATATCTGAGAAGAAATTCAAAGATATATGTGAAGTCAACCAACCCGCACTTGGCCAGCGTGGTTGACTACGGCCCAATCACCTTTAACTTAGGGAAGGCTCCGAGCCCCTCGATGGGGACGTATAATGAGCTGATGATGAATGCATGTTATAAAAGAGTTGGTAGTTATTATACATTGTGCCGATAGATTTCTACAAAGTGCGTGTTAATAAAACATTTAGCAAATAGAACGTCCGCAAAACACATGCTATTTACATATTGTTAATATAACCCAATAGAACACCAGAATAATAAAACATATTGAATCATGCAATGTTATATTAAAGAAAATTTCTGTCCGTCACTCGTTTAAATTTAGCAGCAACGATTGCGACTACACAAGTAAATAATTTTACTCATCTCGCCTTAGTATTATGTACGACTTCGTCCATGTGGAATTAAAAAAAAATAATTAGTACTCTATTTGTTCTTCCAGGCTATATGTTCTACATCTTTATTCCAGAGAGATCCATGAAGCGGTACTGGAGATACCTTCCAGCAAACATCGATCCATCCAAATAATCGCATTTATAATAATAGTAAAATCTCTCTTTCTCTCTCTCTGTCTCTCTCTGCCTAGCTTGCATCCCACAAGATAATAGGGTCAGCTTTAGTATTAGTAAGATATAATATAATTTTAATTATAAGTATATCACTGTTCTCCGTGTACTACTTACCGTAGGCACTGGGACAGGAGGCCATACAACTGGCCTCTGTATCAAATCTGTTCCCATTGCCCCCACAGCCGGTGTAATAGAATGGCACGCAACGGTTCTCCGTCGGACTGAAGGACCAGGCGGCATGCTTCTCCGTGCAATTCCCTGTCTCTTGCGGCTCAACGCAGTTCGCTGTTCATCCAGTGTTAGTTGGAAATATTAGTACATTCAAATAACTTCAATTTCATTTAAACATGATTATAAGAAATTTGGGCAAAATAAGTCATACGAGTAGATGTGATTCTTTTGCACCAAATTGTTATATGAAAGTGAAGTCAAAGAAAGTTGAACAAGAATAAGTAGAGATACATTTCACCAGTTATAAAGAGCCCGGATTAATATCAGAAAGTTAAAAAAATAATTTGTATGTAGAGAACATACCATACAAGCTTCATGCACATTACTAACTACAAGAAGGAAAGCATATATTAAAATTATATAAATTTCAACCACTTTAAATACGACCATCCACATTGTTACAATTATCAGCAAATTAAAATTAGATATCGCAACATCTTTCATTTAGCGTGGTCGGTGTTTACTATCAGATCACTAGAATACTAGAATCTATACGATTTAGCAAAAATACATATCTGTCAATGTAGTACTGTCAGTACTCACGTTGCGGCTTGCCGGGTGGACTACAGCGCTGCATGCAGGCAGCCTCGGAGGTAAAGCGGTTGCCGTTCCCAGCGCACCCTCCCCACACGAACTGGTAGCAGCTACGCGTCTTCTGGTCGAAGAACCAGCGAGCAAAGCTCCCGGCGCATGGACCTTCCTCCATCGGCAGCTCACACTCATCTGGATGGTGATATAATATTTGTAGAGAAGCTTAATAAAGACTGGCGCCCAGTTTATATTACTGCTATACTGCACTGAAACGTACGGGAACGCACACAATGCCATTTACACCGGACATAAGTATGCACGTAAGTCCAAGACGTTTAATCCCTACACATTTAGGTTAAACGTCATGTAAAGCTCGCAATTTAAATAGATCCAAAACTTATCATAGCAACAAAGATGCTAAAAGAAGACATGTTTTAGTGCGAGGGCCTAATAAAATCTGTGCCGTATTATTTTTCTGTGGACAACGATCACATATCGACAACTACTTACCAACATTCTTTTCGGGCTGACACTGAGCCTGGCAGAGCTCGCGGCTCTCGAAGTTGTTGGCGTTGCCGAGGCAACCACCAAATACGAACTGGCCGCACATTTGCAGATCCTTATCGTAGTACCAGCGCAAATTGTATTCCAAGCATGCGCCCTTGACCTTCGGAAGGTTGCACGCGTCTGTTGGATGAGGTGTAGAAAACATGTATATATCAACCAGTCGTTTACTTTACAGATATTTCCAGGATTTCATGACTTAATATCGAAAAATTTAAACAAACAATCCAATACCAAGTTACAATCTACTGACCTTTAGGCGAAGGCTGTACGCAGACGTCCTCGCACTCCTCCTTGCTGGCGAAGCGGTTGCCGTTGCCCTCACAGCCGCCGTACCAGAAGCGCGAGCAGCCACCGTATTCCATGTCGTAGAACCATTGCACCGTGTAGTTGCGGCACGAACCGCGCTCGGTCGCCAGACTGCAAGCCTCTGCAGACACACGTTTATTTGTTAGTACGCACTTAGAACTGAGAATAATAAGAATCATGTCAAAACAAAGGACCGTTTAATGCACAATAAGAGAAACTAACCTTGTCTGCTTACGGGTACATCAGTACAGCCCAGGAACTTTTCTCCTTTAGCTTCAGTTTGGCCATCAGGGCAACAGCCGTACTTGCTACTGGCGCAATCGCAACCCAACTGATCAGGGCCCACAGCAGCGGTGACTTCGTCCCCACAGCACCCGTACTGTGTGTACTGACAACGGCAGCCCTCCAGGTTGGGGCCCGTAGAGATGGTGATGCCGTCGGGACAGCAGCCAAATTGGTAGGTGTTGCAGGAACAGCCCTCGAAGTCGAGCCCGGTAGCGGTCGTGTGACTAAAAGAAAAGCACTTAATTAATTACTTATTGCAAAAATGATGTACATTAAGTGGAGAGAAGATAGTCGTTTTGGTTTACCGATCCGGACAGCATCCGAACTCTGTGTATTGACAGCCACAGCCTTCGTTGCTGGGTCCCCGAGCGATGGTGACGTTGTCCGGACAGCAACCGTAGCGGGCGTCTGCACAGCTGCATCCTGCCACACAATCACTTATGGGTATATTACATTAAAAAGTGATAGCATAGCAGCAGCAATATAGGTGACAAAGCACTTGTTTGTCTGTTGCCACTTTAGATAAAAAAGGCACAGATTGCCCTACCCTCAAGATGAGGCCCGGCGGCGGGCTTGTAGTTGTCGGGGCAGCAGCCGAAGGGGAACTGCAGGCAGCAGCCCTCCTGCTCCGGACCGTGGGCAGGAGTTTCGCCGTCTGCGCAGCACCCAAACTCCGTCGAATTGCATGAGAACACGCATCCTTCCATTTGAGTGCCTTGCGCTGGTAGAAATTACATAAATCAAATCGCGAGATCTTTAATTAATAAAGTTTTTAAAATTTTAGGGACGATCTAATGAATTTATAAGCAAACCTGATATTGTAGAGAATATGGAGCTACATATGTAATTATTAGCTAAACAACTATACAAAAACCTAGAGATAGAAATATACGAAAAAAAGAAGTAGTTTATACCTGGAGAAACACCATCTGGGCAGCAGCCGAAAGCTGTGATGTTGCAGGGACAGCCCTTGCCATCGGGCCCGGTCGCCGCGGTGCTGTTGTCTGCGCAGCAACCGAATTCGCTGGCGAAACATCCCGTTTCCTCGCTAGTATCTTCTACAAACGAAAAACATGTTTTAATTTTTTCTATCTGCATTCAATGAAGACAAAAGTCCTATAGAACAAATTCTTGTAATTGCAAAATTAATAATAATTTTACCTTCCTCAGGGCAACCCTCATTCCTCGGTCCTTTAGATTCAGTCTTGTCATCAGGGCAACAGCCGTACCTAAATGAAAAGTTATTCAGGTGAGTAATTTTATTATTTAGTGCAATAACACGTGAATCTAATGATTAATGATAAAAATAATATAAGTAAGCTCATAATGATAGCCAAAACTATTACTTGTTAACTTATATACTATGGAAAATTTATAGGCTTCGTACTTGGATTCTGCGCAAGCAGGCTTGGGGGGAGGACAGCCTTGCTGATCGTTGTCCTCCGCAGCAGTAACATTGTCGGAGAGGCAACAACCGAAGAGCGTTTCGCTGCAGGGCGGCATGGGGCAGCCCTGGCCGCGGGGCCCGGTCGCCGGAGACACTCCGTCAGGGCAACAACCATGTTTGGTCTCTTTACATGTCTTCGGACTCTGGCAACCTGATTTAAGATGTAATAAATTTTAATCCGAATGTATACTCTAGTACTATTATTATAGTAGTAGTAGGGGCTATATTTCCGCAATGCTACTCGTACATTTAGCGCGTATTTTACTTGAGTAAACTTAAGAAGACAATCTCACCTTCTTCGAATGGTCCCTTTGCTGGGGTCTTCTTATCGGGACAGCATCCGTATTTGCTCTTAATACACTTAGCGACTTTCCTCCGCGCCTTGCAGCCTGGTTTCTTTGTGTATACTTCAACAGTCGTCTTCCAGTCCCATGGAGCTGAGAATGTCACAAAATATTAAAATCTATTTTTTTAAGACTACTTTTACTAATAAATATCAAATAATCTAAGCACAATCCATGGCTGAATATTCAATTAAGATATAACGTAATATAAAAAAAGCCTGAAACTTACTTGTTCCAATTTCAGTGCCCGTCTCTCTTTCTGTTGATATTTCAGTGGTGGACAAACCTTCCAGTCCAGTCTCAGCTGTACCAGACGATTCCTCGGTACTCGAGCTTTCCGTTGTAGATGCTCCATCAATAGACGAACTTGTATAAGTTTCGGAACTTTCAAGTGCTTAGATGGAAAAAAAGTGACAAGTTATTTCTTAGCTAAAGTCCCATCATTCCGAACAAAAGAATTTCTAAATGTTACTCACTAGATCCACTCGTCGTAGATGTTTCTTCAATGGCTTCTGTAGTAGACCCAGACTCCGTTGTGCTGTCAGTTCCTAAAAAAAAGTAAAATTATTTTTAAATTAAAATAAAAAGAAAATAAATATTTAAGTTTCAACTTGTATACTGACTGGAGGTAAATAAAGGTAATAATTGTACGGTCCGTACTACTGACATTATAAGTTTTGGAAATAAAGTAATTATTTAAAATGATAATTTTCTCACCTTCTGAGGTTTCTTCTCTTTCAGATTCCGATACTTCTGTTGTTGACAATGAACTAACCGAAACCTCTGTGGTGCTAGTTTCCGAACTAACCGTGGTGCTGTATTCTGTACTTTCAGTTTCCGTACTTGCAATTGAGATTTCTGTTGTTTCTGAGGATTCGGTACTCTCCTCTTTAGTTGTTTCCGTAGTCGCGCTTGATTCAGATACCGTAGTTTCTTCTGTGGACTCTGTACTTGCACCAGCGGTAGTTGTTTCTCGTTCCGTAGTCTCTGTGCTCGCCTTTGATTCACCTTCAGTTCTTAATCCAGCTTCTGTTGTTGAACTACTTTCATATTCTGTAGATGTACTAGTTTCCAGGTCAGTTGTTGCATTTGATCCCGATTCGGTAGTTGTACTTGATTCAGATTCTGTAGATAAAGTCGATCCAGATTCTGTAGTTGCACTAGATTCAGCTTCGGATGTTGCAGTGGATCCAGATTCTGTAATTGCACTGGATCCAGATTCTGTAGTTGTACTGGACCCAGATTCTGTAGTTGCACTGGATCCGGACTCTGGAGTTGCACTGGATTCAGATTCTGTTGTTGCACTGGATCCAGATTCAGTTGTTGCACTGGATCCAGATTCTGTAGTTGTACCTGATTCAGATTCTGCAGTTGCACCTGATTCAGATTCTGTAGATACACTGGTAGCAGATTCAGTTGATACACTGGAAACGGATTCTCTAGATGCGCTGGATTCAGATTCTGTGGTTTCACTAGATTCAGTTAAAGTTGTATCAGTTATAGTGGAATCCGTAATCTCAGTTGGTTCAGATTCAGTAGAGCCTGTGGTTACGAGGTCTGTGGTCACGGAGTCGGATGTGCTAGATTCTGTAGAAACGGATTCATCTTTAGTTGCCTTGGTTTCTATTTCAGTCGTTATGCTACTGTCTGTTTCAGACGGATCTGTATCTGATTTTGTTGCTTCCGTTGTAGAGAATTCCGTGGTGTCTGTTATTTCAGTCTCTGAACTTAGGGAACTACTTTCGCTTGCTCCTTCCGTGCTTCCACTTGCAGTTGTACTTGTTTCAGTAGGTTCGGTTGATGCTGAACTTAAGCCTGTTTCAGTCATCTCTGTACTCTCGGCTATTGTGCTTTCGGTTGACACCGTTAAATCAGTTTCGCTTACACTCGACGAATCACCTGAAAATATTATTTAAGTACTCAGTTAGTTAGACAAAAAGTAAGAAAGATGGTATGTAATGTTAAAGTTCAATTACAATAAAATTACTTGTTTCTATGTATTTACCTTCACTGGATCCTGTGAGTTCTGTAGTCTCTGTTGTACTACTTTCTGTGCTGCTAAATGATGTTTCTGTGCTTCCATCACCACTTGATTCCGAAATATCCCAAGTTGAACTTGATTCAGTGCTTCCATCAGTAGATACTGTTGGAAAAAAGAAGAAACCCTGATTATTTTGATCCTGTATGATTGCCACCGAGAAAAAAAGATTAGCATGTAATTTATACCTTCTGTAATTCCGGTTTCCGTGCTACCACTTACTAAGCTGTCTGAAGTGGTTGATGGCGGTTTTTTGGTGGTTATTGTGCCACTGACTTCAGATTTTTTCGAAGTGGAATACAATGGCTTCTTGCTACTTATTGGAATGAATTCTCCAGTCAGTTCACTTTCACTCTCATCTGTTGTCGACTCCGTCGTGTCAGTGATTGATGTGAATACTGTTGTTTCATCAGTGAAGTCAGTGCCAGTGGATCCACTGCCCGTTTCGTCGGTTGTCCAATCATCAGTAGATTCTGAGGCATTAAAAAGAAAATTAAGAATTATGTCAATGCATTTATTGTATTAACTGACGATATTCTAAGTACTAACTTGAACCAGATCCTGTTTCAAGCGTAAATTGAGTTTCATAGTCACCGGAATCATAATCTGTAAAAAAAATATTATTCACATTCTAAAAAGTCCTTGTATGAAATATTTATAATGGAGGTCACTATATATTACCAGTTACTGGACCATCGCTGAACATTACGTCTTCTATCTGAAAACAGATAAAATAATAACGACTCTCGTACAGAACAATTCGGGATGATTCCACTACTTGTAAAACCAAACTCTGAATGCATTGTTGCACGCAAATTTACATACCGTGACGCCACTCGGTCCAATCGCTTCAGCACCGGCCTCTGGGTAGTCTTCCTCGATACATTCCTCGTAGTCGTAGTAATCGTCAGCAGCAGTTACAGCTTTAGCCGGTGACGTTTTGGTGTCATCTTTCAGGGAAATCAAATAACACGTTTTATGCAAACTGTCAAAAAAGTTGTTGATCTGACGATAAATGAACGAGAAAGTTCTTGGTGCACAAAAAGAAAGCCAAAGTTACGGTTGCGTTTGGATTGGATGATCTGCAGGACGGATAATGGCCAGAAGTCGGTGAAAGTAGATTTAACATACGGGACCTTACTCTTAGTCTATGGAAAATTGACAACACTTACTGGTGCAAGGGTCTGTGTTGCAACCCTGCATTGTTTCCAGTATGGTGTCCTCAGGGCATGTGTTCGCTTCGACACCACCGCTCAAGCACATCACGCGGCGGAACTGTTGACCGCCGCCGCAATCTTTTGTACACTGTCAATTAAATCGGAAGTTATACATCCATAAAATCAGCAGCATGTTAAAATTACCAAAAAACTTTTTAAAGAAAGTGACTTACATTAGACCATGGTCCGGCGTACCACTTGGCATCGCATTTCTCCGAGGGTACTTCGCAGGGCTTGGTATCGTTGTAGCGCATTTTGCTGTCGCAGCGGTCGTCATCCACCTTGATCACCGACGCGCCATCGAATAGACCGCAAAATACTCGCCGGCTTTGAATACCTTTACCGCATTCTACTGAACACTGGAACAAACAGCTTTCGGTCAATTACATCTGACTTAAAGACCTACACTTCCAAAAGTCGTAACTAAAGTACATTATAAGTAAAACTCTTACTGCCGCAATCCATCAATAAGAATTGTACATTAAGCGACTATTTAAGCAACTATTAAATGACTCTAAGTGTAGCAGTCGGACATCATCAGACACGCAATAGACACTTGCCTTGCTCCACTGAGTGGCGTACCACAATAGCTGGCACGACGGCAGTTTCGTGCGGTCGCAGGGCTCCTCCAGCACCGGCGCTGGGTGGTAGGAACAGAAGCTAGAGTTCACCACTTTGTGCATGCTGGTGGCGCAGTGAGCCACGCGCGTGCGCACTGAAGATGTACACGTGTCACACTGAAATACAAACAAGACTCATATTAAAATTTAGTAAATAAAGAAATATATTTCTCGCCATAGTACACCGTTGACCTCAGGAGGCACTTTAGGAATCACTTATTTAGACTGTATAAATGGTACTTACTCCAGACCAGTCAGAGAGGACCCAGTCGACACCCTCGCAGGGGCGCAGCATGCAGCTCTGCTCTGTCGCCGGTTTCTCCCCCTCGCACATCGCGTCCTCGAACACTTCCACTTTCCCGTTGATCCTCTGATGACAGACCACTTGCCGCGTCTGCTTGCCTTCGTCGCACAGTTTGTCGCACTAGGCAAATTTGATAAATTAGTGATAATACGTTAAAAGTGACAATATTCGGATATTAATATAGGCGTAGATGTTTTTTCCAATAATTATAATTATTTTTTATTACCGGTTTCCAAGGTCCAGTGAACCAGGTGGGGCAAGTGGCGTTCCTGTTGCACTCCTGATACAGCTCGGGTTTGGGGCCGAGCAGATCGAAGCACTCCTTGTCTGCTACTATTGACTGCAACCTGGAAGTATAATCATGCGTTGTTATATCATAGTCTTAAGTTCAAATAAAATTTAATGTTTTAAAATAACTTTACCCATTAACGATGATCTTCTCACAGTAGACTTGTCTGGATCTAGTACCACCCTCCCCACAGGGTTTGGAACAGGGACCCCAAGGTTCCTCCACCCAGCCTGGTGGGCAAGGGTCCGTGTTGCAGGTCTGGTCAGTGACGGGCTTGAGGCCGGTGTCGCACAGGCTGTCCTCTACCACTTCCAGTTCTTCTCTTGACCGACACGTCACTTGTCGCGTCTGGGTCCCTAAAGCGAATATCAATATAAATAGTTTTGCATAATGAAGGTGTGAGGCCGCACCAGCGTATATTTCGAAACTTCTTACCTCCGCCGCATGTGGCGCTGCAGGGTGAGAATTCTCCATGGACCCAGTTGTATTGCTGGTTCGAAGGTGGCGCCAGTGCGGCGGGCAAACTGTATTCATATTCGATTCCAACGTTCTCGTCTTGTAGCAGCAGCTGAAAATCAAAAAGATGCCATTCAAGGAGTGTAAGTAAAAGACGAAAGACAATACAAGTGAAGGGATTTTCATTTATTGACGATGCTAATATGTATGTATACTGACCGAGAGGTACAAAGGTTCGGTTGTTGGTCCGAGACAGCGCAGCTTATCTGGTGCGGCGAAGCCCTGCTGGCTGCGCTCATAATGCCAGGTGGCGCCGGCTATTGTCAGACTGCGAGGGAAGTCGATGTGATACTCCCCGTTCAGGTAATATACGTTGTCTTCCTTCGATCTTAACGCTTCAATCAAAAGACATGTTGAAAGAAAGATAGAAAAGTAAATAAATTAGCAGGTATCTTTTTTATTTCTTACCTAAGTAATTGTTTGATGCTCGCACTTCCGAAATATAAATGCTCGTTGATCCTTGTGGTATTAACAAGATGTCATTATAACCTGTAATTAAAAAAAAACGTTGAAAAATTATGATAGAGAATTTGAAACCTTTTCCGAGTAATGTAATATGGGTAGAGGTAACAAAAATTAATTGATTTGCACTTGATAAGTAAATGTTTACCTTTCCGAAGGTCAGCGCTGTCGATGAGGCCGGAGATGGTGCGGCAGTTGGTTCCGTTTCCTCGGCACACACGGCACTTGTCTTCTTGGGCGATCGACCCCAGCATCATGTCGCAACCTACCGGCTGTTTACAGTTGGAATTAAGTTTTCTATAATAATATAAGAATACAGCTTTCTTTTTTTAAGGTTAGCTTATTGAGAAATCTTGTAATATTTTTCGTAGAGATCACAACGTTGTTTTTCGATGCTAGAAAATTGTGGTTTACCTGACAGGTGCCATTGACGCAGACGTCGAAGGATTCGTCAGTGCATCTGGTGCCGTCCACCACCTTGCTCTTTTGTCGGAAGTAGAAGCGCTCGCCGCGCGGCATGCAGTTCAGTTCGCATGGGTTTGGAGCATTTGTGTATGGTAGCCATCTGTAACCAAGAAACTTATATAGTATTGTTCAAAGAAGATAGATAGAAGAGTGATAGAAGAATATTTACTTATATTTGATCCCTCTGAAGGCGACGTCATCATACTCTGCGCACTGCTGTGCGCGGAAGTCGGCAGTCTCCGGGCAGTCCTGCGTCTGGCATGAGAAGTACTTGGTGTCGCCGCCCGTACACAGTGGCTGACCTTCAGGACTAGATTAAAAAAACATCCAATAAGGTTACTGGTTACTCGTAGTTCAGTTTCATAATAATTCTCATTGTTAAGGGAAATTCTATGGATAACTTTATTAGCTAAATCGGTGACCGTGTACTGTAATAATTGTAAGTTAACCTCGAAGAGACTGGATTTCATGACACTGAATGTCTTCAAAGATAACAGGCATAACGTTTGCGGGCAGAGATGGTCAGCTGTACTAACCTAACTTCTAGGCATATTCTCTTCTGGCTGGCAACGCCGCCGCCGCAGGTGCGCGAGCAGGGGCTGACCTCGCCCCACTCGCCCCACGCGCCGGAGCCCTCGCCCCCGGGCACCACGTAGGAGGCAGACAGGTACAGCCCCGCACCCTGCCGCCTGTGTCTGCTGCGATGACGGGATAACTGCAACAATATAACTGTAAAAGTTAGTAAGTCGAAACACGGAAAATAAAACGATTTTTGCCAGAGAGGAAAGGAATGTGTATTGAGCGAGAGTTAACAGAGTACAGACAGGAATGACTAGATAAAATTCAAATTTTGGATAAACAAAAATCTTAATCAGTGTAGGTAATCCAATAGTGGTCAAAAACTGTTGCTCCTCATAAAATTGTAGGCGTTTAACGCAATGGCGAATTGGCGCAAATAACACTTAATGCTACCATTCTTTTATATTTTTCTAATAAGATTAAGTGTTACCTTAAGAGTAGATTTAAAAATAGATATTTACGCTAAGTGGCTGCTTTAACGACCCTCAATAAGGCCGTTGCAAGGGATAAGTTCCATAATACAAAACCCGTTTTTGTATACTTCTAATTACTATTAAAACGATAAATAACGAAAAATAATTATAGTCTAGAGTAATTATAATTCATCAATCTATCACATTGCATCATAACCTCCAAATCAAGTTATGTAATAAATTTTATGATTGCTTTTAAAAATATTTTCCCACAGATTATGCACTTATTGTGCGTACGCCGATACAATCTTTACAATATAAACGAATTAACTGTTGATTGCTTCAATTACTACAACGGAGAAGGTAATCTGATAATTAATTATTTACGAATATAAAAGATCAAACTGAATTCACATTCAAATTGCTTAATATTACTTAGCACTGATAACCTAACGGTAACTAATTTGGAGTCCAAATAGAAATGATTGATCTTTCTTAAATGTGTCTCTTAAGTATATTAATTTAAATGTTATTATACATTCTAGTCTAGCAAAATTAGTGTGGACTGATTAATACTTGAATTAAGTAAAAGAAAAATAGGCAATATAAAATATTACAAATCCTTTTTCTAATCTATATATTTCATAAATAATTCGACAAAGTTTAACTTAGAAGTAATTGCTATAAAGAAAACGATAGGCGTAACAAAGGAAAGAATTGCGAAAGATTCCCAATGCTTGACATGTGGACGTTGGGATGTTGCTTTGATTGGATCTGTTCCCGCACAGAGCCCTTTATCGGACGTTGACTGAGAGGTTACCAAATGTAAAAGTAAAGTTGGACTTACATGGAGTGTAAAAATATAATAACTTTATTATGGCAAGTATTGTGTGAAACATTATAAACTAAATTGTTTCTGACACAGCTTTTTTCGTGTTATTTTCGCTGTCGTGGGTCCTTGAAAAATCAGCATTATGGTAACAAACATCTTTCCAATTCACATACTTTGTGTGAACACCGTTATACAGTTTGAGGTATATTATGTTTATTACTCGATAAAATATTAACCAATGTCGACGCAGCTTATGATTTAAAATATCTATCGCCGCGAGAACCGTCTTAGCGAGCTTTGTAAGTCAATGTTTTGTGAATAAACATGCGACATCGGGGCGCGGAGGTTGTCAAAAGTGTTGCAACAACCGACAAGTAAACTGCATTGCTTTATAACAGATATTTCAACTTTATTCATATTCTGCTTTCCTACAGAGTTTTATTATGCTACTCTAACTGACAATGCTTTTTTAAATAATCCAGTTATAACGGCATAAAAGAGGTCCTTGTCGATACGAGTGTCTGGCGTCGTTTTTGTTCGTCCAAGATCCGGCACCCACGTTTCACCAGACTTTTAGGCCGAAGATGAAATCATTATAGATTTTAAGAGAAAGCAGACCGTATTATTTATAAGGAAATCAGTATCCTAGTTACTTTTTATGGTTTTGTAAGCGTAATATATAATATAGTGTTTTATTGTGCTAGAAAAAACTAGCTATGTAAGTTATGATACCGTCTCTTCAAGTTTATTATTGTCAACAATCAAAAGGATTGTAAAGGAACATACCCATACTACGTGACCTATTTTTTAGTTTTATCGACCCCTCCCTCCCCTCGGTGACCACTCGTAGTACATGGCAAGATCCCCCTCCCCTTTAGTTTTTACGTAGTAATTTCACAGGCATAAATTTTTAAAAAATAATTTGGCTAATACTCTTCTTTATAGCATAAGACTGCATGCATACTTAAATATACTAGTGAATTATGTATTATGAAAAAAAAAAACAAGGAACGACTACGTGATTTGTCACCTGAGCCACCCCCTCCCCCTCCTGTGACTGACAGTAGTATTTTAAGGACTCCCCCCCCCTAAACGGGTCACGTAGTATGGGTACGTTCCCTAAATAGATTTATAGATAGCCTTATAATATTGTGAATAGTTAACTAAAATCTTTAAGGTATTCAGTTACAATACACTTACTTTTAATTTTTTCTCGCGTTGAATGAAATAATAAAAGCAACTCTGAATATGTTTATTTAAAATCACTTTTAGATACGTGTTGATGGAATATTGTACATCATCGTATTATTTTTAACATAACTTTAAATGTTAAGACATTAAAGGTACTCCGACAAGACCATTCGAAAACTTATAGACATGTAATAATTTTTTTAAATAAATATATCGAAAATACGTTTACAGCCAGATGCTAGAGATTTAAAAATTGAACGATGCTAAAGATGTAAGCATACTTAAAGCATTAAAATAATGTGTAAAAATATATGAATCGTGTAACATAAAGTCGGGTACTGACCAAAGTTACGAGGTGTAATGTAACATGTTACACGGCAAGCATTCCTAGTCAGCACGTAGTGTTACTCTGTGTAGTGTAATACTCGGATGCTACTGACGTGGTTTGTCATAAGACAGAGTATCTTGAATTCCCCCCAGATACAAAAAAAGTTTAGGTAAAACGTTTTTTTTTCGAAATCAATGGTGACTTTTTAGAGTTCTCATAAAATAGTTACAAACATATCTACTTATTTTCAGCTCTGTGTAGCTTCAATATGTAATTTAAGATTAGAAAATTGTTCCCTCTCATACCATAGATAATGTTAAAACTTTTAAGTGTATAAATCAATAAATAATCGGCAATTTGAGACTTCATAAAGTTAATTGCTAAAACGTCGAAGTTTTAAATGTATTTCGAGACAACAACCTCATAAATTGGTTCGTAACGGTCGTGCGTGCCGCCCAAGTGAATGTGACTCCCGAAATAGTGCGTAATGGGACTATGCGTGATTCTCTGTGACTTTCTGTGACTATATGCTACTGTTGCCTGTCTCTGACTAATAATTGATGCTCGCGCCTCGATTAATTATATTTAAAATGTTCACATGCTTTTAATTCGATTCAGTTAGGGTTGTAATAAAGTTTTTTTGCGTTTACAATATTTTTTTTCGTTTTTGTTATTTAATTGTTAGATAGACGAATTGTCTTTTTTTATATCAAAAGTTGGCAAACGAGTGAGCGTTCACCTGAAGTCGCTGAAATAACGAAGTGGCCGTTGCCCATAGACATACGCAATTGCATATGCGTTGCCTACCTTTAAAATGGAATTAGTTTATGTCTCATAGTTATCAATTAACCGTATGTAAATTATTCAAAATAAAATGAAATACTAAAGCTTAAGTAAAGCTTAAAGAAAAGTATATTTCAAGAAAATTGGCGTGCAATTTGTTTTTGAAAACTATTTGTGAGTTAATTTTATCATTTCTTTAGCAATCTTGTTTTATTGCAGTTTTAGAAATACATTATAAATTAAATTATAATTCTTTATAAAGTTAACAAGAAGGTTGTATTTTTTTAATAAAGTTTTCTTCGTATGTTCAACCCTATCATATCTATTATAACTATAATGCAATGATGTCTGTCAATGATCTCACGCAGCGCCATCTCGCGATGAAATCGAAACTAATCTCACTTATATTATGTCGCATATTTTAAATTCCGAAGATGCAACAAGTTGAAATACTTAATTTTTGTTTGATAATAATTAATAATAAGGAAAAAGAACAACGTTTGCTTTACGCTTAAATCTTTTAGGCGACGGGCCTATCCTAGTCTTTTCTATTATAGACAAAAAGCTTCATAAAATAAGAACTGAAATCAGAAATAACTAGTTCTCGAAGATATTTACACATAAAAGTTACTTTATATTATCTTAAATTCCAATCTAGATAAGGCAAAATGACAATAAACAATCTAAGTAACTTAATAAAGTTCTCTGTTAAGTTATGATGTCTTTGTTACTTCAACTTGTAGCCTATTAAATGAGTAAAATGTCAAAGTTCAATGAAGTTATACAATAACATTCTTGACCCTGAGCTAAGAAGCTGTGCGGTAAATTGAGTTTCTTATTGTTTCGTAGTTTGAAATGAGTGTTTTAAGAAGATTGCCTAATCATCCACATTAAATAGACCATTGTCCGATGTTAATCGATGAGACGTCCGCCACTCGACGCTAGATGGCGCTGCACCGGTCAAAGTCAAGGGCCGCGCGGTCAATAGCAGCTTCGTGGACTTATGAAATACTATTTGTTTGCTTTAGGGCTGGCAAATATTAAACAAATAAATATAAATTACATTAAAGCGGACTTATAGACTACATAGAAAAGCTAACTTAATTTTTTTACTCCTAACATAATTGAAAAACAAGATATTTAGTCCAAATGCACCTATTTAATGTAGTGAAAAAGATGATTGAAAACCATATTTACTACTCGAAACTATGGAAAAAAACAAATTCTTATATTATATTTTTTTTTGTTTTTACTCGAATACAATATAAGAACTTACTACCTACCTTTTAAGTTAATGTGGTCTAATTTCTAGTTCACAAATAAGTCTTTAGAGAGAATCTATATTTGTTATCTTTCTAAATGAGACATCCCTGTCTCGATTTAGCGTCCGATGCAGCGTCTTCCTGCAATAAATTAACTTTCCGGCGTCGCACAGATAATGTCTCGCCTTGTGCTTCCTTCTGACAGCTAGTGAGATGTAGCTTGGGCTTATATTAGCTTTTGTTGAATATTATAGTTGTGGTTTTTATTTTCATTTCGTTTATAATACGTGTTCTAAGCGACCGTAGATTTAGTAGACTTTGGAATCCGACTATTTCTTGGTCAGTCAGTAATATGCGATATACTTATTGATTTCCTAAATTTCATTCGTGACTTATAAACAAGACAATAGTAAAAAGTAGTTATTGGTTACTGTAGCCGTAATATTGACGAATTAAATGAAAAATGAAATGGTATGAGTTGTCATTTTCCCAGGTTCGTTTGACACGATTAGAAATATTTTTAGTTTTTATTTTGGTTGTTTTGTTTTGTTTCATTGCAGTGGGTGAATGATTTATCAATACTTACATTATGTGTGTGATGATGTCTTGTTGCGGTCCATACAACGTAATTACTTAATAAGATGGCTGCTAGCAGCAGCGATCTGAAACAAAGGACAAGATTAGCGGTATTCAATTCCACTGGTGAAACATGTATTCAAAATCATTGTTAAGTTGTTAAAAAGACATGTTTATATACATGTTTCGTCAATGTATCTTGATTGAATGAAACATGTAATTTTATATGACCTTATAACAAGTTATCAGGGGTACATAACCTTAGATGCATTACAGTCACAACATCCGCTAACAACAAGCGTAGTCAGTGCGCACTCTCGCGCCCTCTTATCGGCCCGCCCTTCAAAGTTTCCGTCTCAAGCTTGACGTAAATGTCGTCATGCCTACATAGATAAGAATTTATATATATATAACGAGCGAGCGGCCACCTGGAATCGCTGAAATAGCGAAGTGACCGTTGCCCATAGACATATGCAATTGCATATGCGTTGCCTACCTTTAATCGACGGAGGAGAGGATACACAGAACGAAAATATTTACGCTTTCCATGCATCATCTCATCCGGAAAGTCCACTTCCACTTCCCATCCTTTCCTTATAAGAAAAAGGGTGGGAAGGGAATGAGGACTAGATTAGGCCTCCGGGATGCAAATCTTACTAAAATTATAAATACAAATGTTTAGATGGATGGATTGTTTGTTTGATATCTCCAAAACAGTTGGATGGATCTTATTTAATTTAGTATAGAGGTAGAGAATAATCTGGAAAAAGAAATAGCTTACTTTATTTTTTAAACAACCAGTTCATTAATAATTATACTATTAAAAAAGCTATCTTGTCCTTTAAAAATTTGCATAAAAACAAAACTATTTATGTAATGCATCATTCGTAAAAAGGTACTTTTTAATTATACGCGTTAATTTAGAGAAATATCCTTTAATAAAATAACTACTTGATATAATGTGAAGAAATATAGTAGTCAAGATGTAAATAACTGATATTAAAATTTTTAATTCACTTAGATGTTATCCAGAGGAGCGTAAAGCGTTCAACAGACGAGTCATCGGACGAAAAGGGTTACATCTCTTAAGAGATCTCGTAAAAGATATAACTCTCTACGATGGGTTGAGCAACAATTAGGTGCCATTTTACTTTTGCGTGTTTATGTTTGCTAATTTACGTCTATAGAGTTTTTAACAGAGACCGGTTTGCGAAATCTCTAAAGGTTTGTGTTGTGTAAAAGGTAAAATATTTTACTATACTCTTAACCTATAAATATTTCAAGCTTGAATCTCGGTGTAGTTAGTAACTTGTAATAATTTTATTACTTGAAAGTAATAACTATATATATAAAAATCAATTACTGTTCGTTAGTCTCGTTTAAACTCGAGAACGACTGAAGGGATTTATCTAATCTTGGTCTTGATATTTTCGTAGACGGTTGGGGGCGGTTTAGAAGGCGAGAAAAATTCTAATAATTTGCCGAGAAAACCCTTTAGGAACCTTTTTTTTTAATCCTGCGCGGACTCCTGGACGGAGTCGCAGGCGCTAGTTAGTTCGTAAATGTAATATGTAATATTAAGTCATCTTGCAGAGTAAAAGACGTTACGAAGCAACTCATCAGTCAAACAGCAGGAAGCGACAGCCAAGATTGATGTCCATTTAAATATCTTCCAAGACTCCTTGTTGGATATCCAATCATGTGAAATAAATACGAATTATTGAAGTATTACTGTAGAATTAAAACGCCGTAATATTTGTCTCAATAAATTTTGTTATCACTTTCATTTTCTATGTAAACGACAAGGACAATTATATATTTTAATATACGTGTTACCGCAGTGGAATTATTCTGCACTTATGATTGAATGCTGAACTCAGAGTCAATAGCCACTGAGAGACTGAGTAAGGAACCATTTAATGACTCTGAAAGCTATAGAAAAAAAAATAAATGACATTAAAAATAACATTTTTTGTATTTTTTTAATAACTCCTACCCTTTATAATTTAGTAATTAAAACCACTTTTTTATTAGTTTTTTTAATGTATAAAACACGTATGATATAAACCAGAGCTTTTAGGAATGTGTTCCGTTAACAAATTACTTTTATCTTTCTTGTAAAGATCATATCGAAACTTGTTTATAAAATCATCGCGGGTCCTTTATCAACGTTTTATACGACCGTTTTAAAAAGCCGTGTCAGGAAAAGAAATACGTCCGTCATATTAAAATACCATTACCTCGTATTTACCACTTGTAATAACCTCCATGGTATTTTTGTACGCGATAAAAGTGACATTTATGTGTACCTAATAACGCGTTACCAATTTCTTTTAGAGGTTATATTTTTTTTATTATTTGTAAGTGGCAATTAGGGAGTTAATTAGTTTTTTTTTAATTTAAAAATTCGAATTGATACTTAAAATTGACAGTTATATCTTTTAAGTAGCAATTAGAGTACTAATTGGTTGTATTAAAGTGTAAATTAATTTTATATAACAACTAGCTGCCGCCCGCGACTCTGTCCGCGCGGAATTAAAAAACATAACTAGTAGTCTATACGTTCTTCCAGACTATGTTCTACAACTGTGCCGAATTTCAGCGGGATCTGTTTGGTAGTTCTGAACATTCCTTCTTACTAAGAAACATTTATCCATCCTTCCATCTAAACATTCACAATTATAATATTAGTAAGATGTTAGTTGTTATTACCTATGTTTTTTTCAGCACTTATTTGGTTTGATAAAAATTTTGCTACGCTAAAAAATATGTCATACACGTGTTCCATGCTTCTAAATATATTACAAAAGGGTCGTGCCTTAAATAGTACAACTATTCATGTATATTAGTTGTTATTATGTTCCGTATAAAGTCAGTACAGTCATGTTTTGCTGCCCAAAATTCAAACTTCCATGCTGCGTTAGGTCTTAGGTCTTGTTCAGAGCCTAGGCTGATGTAACCTGAATAATTCTGGCGCATGCAAATCCTAACGACATGATGTGAATACGAAATAATTTGATGATGCCATTTGATTTTTATTAGGTTGACAAACATTAATGGTATGTCAAATACGATGATTGACAGTTATGACAGGTTGTCATGACAACTGTATGACAATATGGTCATCTCCCTCATTCTCTTGGAAAAATAGAGATAACGATAATATTCTAGTAAATGTTACGAAGACGGATGAAATAATTGTTTTGATTAAATTTATTTATTGACTAAAAATTGGTCAATTTATTTGAAAAACTTTTAGGGAGGGATTTATTACACTTTAAAAATTTTAATGTATTATACATTTATTTTTATTCATAAAACTATGAAACATTTATAAAATATTTCTATCAGTGTAAACGAGACTTGCAAATAAGCTTTGATAACGTGTTTGTGTAAACATTCGGCGAGTACAAAGGCGAAAATCTCTAAGGGAACTACAAATGGTAGCGTCACGTAAACATCGGCAATAAGCAATTGTGTAGTCAAAGGAACGCGATTTTAGGGTCAGCGCACACTCACACACAAATAGTAAACGAAAAATGTAAAAGTTATTGGATCTTAAAATTATTGTCAAGGTCTCTCTCTGTGCTGCATACGTCCTCTTTCTGTCTTTTCCCAGTTTGTATCGTACTCAGAGTCCATTAGGTGGTCGTAAGCGACTTGCGTTAGTTTAGATTTAATATAAGATAAACTACACCAAGGGTTCTGATTAAGTAACCATAAGATGACTCTGAGTGTAGAAGTAAATTGTTTATAATTAGTATTAGCGAATGCTGATGGTACCAGGGCCGCATAACTTTCGACTGTAGTTAAATTGACTTTTATTTCGATTAATTAATTGCCCCTTTGTAATTGAAACTTGTGAACGGATCGAAATGTCCGTCTGTCGCACGTCAGTGATCCCAACTTGACATTGCAAACGCTTGTTCCGCGGGAAAGTAATTCAACACCCGGACAACGGAGACACATGTCAGTTACAATTAAAACAGCGGGACACATAGAGTCGATTAACTTGTGATAAACAACATACGGGTGGGGAATAGTTATCGGCGAAATACGATATATTAATTACGCGAAGCGCAAACTTTAAATTGGTTAAAAATTTCAATGAGAATTTGAAATCAAACAAGAAATGGGTAACTTGATCTTAAGCGAACATTATCATCGTCAAATATTAAAAATATCTGATCAACTTAAATAAAGGAATCTTAGGTGCTATTTCCACTAGCACGACTGCACTGCATAAAGTAATAGTCGCATGCGACCGTTACGCAAATATGTAGATGGATGAATGGACGGATAGATGTTTGAAGGTACATATATCCGGAAGGGCTCAACGGATCTAGATGAAATTTGGCATAGATGTAGAACATAGTCTGGAAGAACACATAGGCTATTAATAAAGTTTTTTTTAAATTCCGCGCGGACAGAGTCGCGGGCGGCAGCTAATAAGCAATAAATTTTATGTTATCGTGGATGCCACATTATGATATCACTATGACACCGCGGTAATAATAGAATATCATAAATTTCATCGGACGACACGAAGATCGCACTTCGAATATTAATATTGAAGAATATTGTAATGGGTCATGCGCTATTGTTTTTTTTACAAATAAATATAAGTTGGTGGACATATTAGTATTCTATGTGTGCTTAAATAGCATACAAATGCACTATTTATGTCAAATCAACAACGACTGGACACTTTTAGTTGTCGGGTTAATATTTACTGGCCACAAAGTACGTTGTTCGCGCGCATTTCTTGTAAAAAGTAAAAAAAAAGCATTAAAATTACGATGTATAATTTAAAGAGACCATAATAAGTAAATTAATGAATAAAAGACTTTATCCTATTTGTATTATTCTTATGAATTATCAAATATGTTCTAGGAATGAAACGGACTTAAGAGAAAATCGCAAAATGGTTTTCAAGAACCTTTTATACTGTTGAGAAGACTATATACAAAAGTGTTATTATTCTGCGAAGCGTTTGTAGTGAGTTAAGATTAAAGCTTTTCTGAATTTTGTAGCGATCGTGTGAAATTCTTTTAAATTAAAATTGCGTGGTTTGCAGTGTGATGAC